AATAGCTGAATATACTATCTAATATAATATAATATATAATATAATATAATATAATCATTTATTATATTATGCAATAGTTGCAAAAAAAAAACAATAGTAAAAAAGTCATCCAAAATATTGTGCATTAAGCAGCATAACTTATGCACTAAAGTATAATTAAAAACTAAAAACATTAAGATAAAAATAATAAAAGATTATTAATTATACGCCTGACCATTGTTTGTTAATCTATTAAATTTCAACTCATTTTAAAAATCAAATACTTTTTGATATCTAACATAAACAAGTTGGTAGGAAAATATTTACAAGAGCAAACAAATTCAAGTATAAAAAGAAACAACCAACAGAATAAAATTAACCCCTAAACATTATTTTATTCTTCTTAAAAATTAAATGTGCAATCGATCAAATACATTTATCAAATATTTTTAAAATACGCTTAATATATATTTTTTTTTTGTAAATATCTAATATAAAAGAATAGAATATTTATTACCTATATTGAAACATACTATACAAATACAATTCAAATAAGTTCTTTAAAGGAACAGTTATAAATATATAGTTATTATTTATAAGGTGAGATTATACAAATTTAAAATAATTGAATCCTTATCAAATTAATTAATTAGGTAATCAAAGTTTAATAAAATAAATAAATAATAACAATAATAATAAGTAAGACAGAAAAATATTTGGGTACAGTGCTGAATTCATAGATACAGGATTTTATAAACATGTATTTTACCTTATACTAAAAACATTTTTTTTATTGATCATAGTTTTAAAAATTTTTAATATGGATATCATATAATATTATAATGCATGCACAAATTTATATCCATTATATTATATTTATTTATTTTAAATACATTATTTATTTTTGAAGAGTATATATTATGGTTGAAACTGACACTTTATAGTTTATAAAAATATAAATTTGTTAGTACTTATTTTGCCTGGGTTGTCTTTAAATTTAGTATATCATAATATTATGCATTAAAATATAGTATATCAGTATTTCAATGAAAGGGTTTCTTAAGGGCTCTCCTGAGTAATGAATTTATAGCAGTTCTGAGTAAACTTAAATATTCCTCAAAGGTACTACCACATTCACCAATTCCGAATGCATATACTGACTTTGAATACCATAGAAACCATTTTAAAGTTGTTGGGTAATAAAATATTATTCAATGTATTAAACCCACCTAACACACTCCTTAATTTTTAATTGTTAAATCAATATGAAAATTCCATTAAAAAAAATGTGTCAATATCATGGCACCAGCATTTTGCACTTATACATATGCAGTTACAATTACAAGTACCTATACAATGTATAACTTGATGTATATCATAATGTATTTCAACGGGTTTATAAATATCGAGAATTCAAGTTTTTGATATAGAAAAAGGAATCTAACATGTTTTATCAAAATCAATTTTCAGTGAGCTTATATTAAGCCAATTTTTTTGCTAACACATTAAATTTAATTAAATTTAATCATAAACTAGGATTGTAGTGTCATCGTCAAAACAGAATGATGAATACATTCAACATTTTAATCAAGTAATTCCCTTAAATATATATAATAAATAACAGTACATTGTGGGACACCATAATTTAGAATATTTAAGTTAGTTACTCAATATATCATTAAACAAACATGTTGGCTAGGATTTTCTAAAAAAAAACATTAAATGAAATTAATTGGAACCTCTTTAACACCATATTTATCTAGCTCATTTAACAATATTTTATGATCAACAGACCAAATGCTCTTTTGACATCAAGAAAAATTTCAAAAGTTACTTTTATCCAATTTAGTATACATACAAGTATACAACTGACAAGAATTTTTAAAGCTATTAATGTACCTTTAGTATGTTTGAGACCAAATCTCTAACTCAATGTTTTTGAATAAAAGAGTATGTTTTTATATTTATTAACTTAGTTTTGCTTAACATTTTCTAACACACCTACCCATGTTTAAAATATTATACTTGTACAAAAAATATACCTATTCTGTGTGTTTAAAACCATATTGAACCAATAATAGATTGTTTTAAGTTGTAAGATACCTACCTACATTATATTTTTTAGAAAGAGGATATTAGCAAAACATTTTTTCTGAGACTGTTATACCTCTTATTAACAATTTAAACCCTTACTCCATCACCAAAATAGTCTGACAAATATCTATTCCACAATTTCCACTCCAAAATATGTAAATGGGAATTTCTTAATAAGTGAAAGATCACAAAAAATTTTTTTTTATGCAAATACACAGTGTTTCTTAATATTATGTACCTAATATATTACTGCAAATAGTACAAAATATTATGTTTGTCTTAAAATTATAAATTTCTTGGTGAAATAAATTAGACATGACACCTAATTATTTGAGGTACCTAATCCCTCAAGCTTTTAATATGCATTAATACTGATAAGACGTGATAACCAACACTACGCAGTCAAAGAACTAATCAAAAATATAAATTCTAATTTCTCTTAATATATAGCCAATAAATATGTATAGTCGTATGACCATACATACATTCAGTAGGTATATATTCCACAAATTCAAAATCAGTACCTACCTGTGATCAGTGTTGTGTTGTATCTAGACAAATTATCTAGATAGGTAAATTTGTGTAGTTTATCTTATCCAGATAAATAGGAAATATGTTATCATCTGAGCGTTATCTAAGATAAATAATTAAATAGTCTCGTCCAAGATAAATAATTAAATCGTTTAGATAAAATTATATTTTTAAATATTTATATTGTTATTTATGTTAATTAATTATTAAATATTTTATACTTTCCGATTACAAAACGGTAAATTTATTTTCAATATCTATACATAAACATAATACTACAAATTGTTATTTTAATAATGACTTGTATATAATAATTGTTTATTAAAATATATATAAATATATGTAATATTGGTATTATAAATAATAAATATACCTAAACATATTTTCTATTCTTGAATTATCAGATTTACTAAGTTCATATTTTAAATGTTTTTGGTAGTACATAGGTACCTAAATAGGTTTTGTGTTAGCAACATAATAATATTATCTGCAACGTAATTCACCGACCAGGATACCCGCCTTAATTCGAATCGATCATGAATCAAAATGATTTATAATAAAATATACTAAATAAATAAAAAATACTGATAACTAATACGTATAAAATAAAATACAGTAGGTACTAATTTTAACATATACATGAATAAGATATATATCATACGTATTATATGGTTAAAATGTATATAACTTTTAAAGTGTTAATATACCATTACATTTTTTTATCCTAATCAATTTACATAAATTCTTTTTTAAATACTTATTTTTATCTTTAAATAGATAACTACTCTACCAATTATCTTTATACAACACTGCATGTGAGAACTAATATAAATATTGTAAATTAAGTAAACCTTTCAAGGAGTATGTAAAAATTTGATCAAAATCAAAACAGAAGTTTTAAGAAAAAAAATTAAAAATTTGCTTTTAATAGTTAATTTGTTCGTATCTAGTATAAAACATATTTTTAATAATTATTATTTTTATTTTTAATATATTTTTAATCTTTCATCAATTGTTCTTTAGTTTTTCTCAGTTTTTTTTTTAAGAACTTAAATTAAGATAGACTAAACATTATCAAAACGAAAATCTAAAAACATAATATCAGATAGTTTGACGTTAACTGATTTTCTATAAAAGAAAAGGCATAAAATAAATACATTGCGCTACTTGATATTTGTTGTACTTATTATTATATGTTCATAGCAACATAAGTTAATAAAATAGGTGCTATTAATTAATAATTTATTTGTTAATGTTTGATTGTCATTGCAACTGTAACATGAAAATATATTACTTGGAAATCAAACTTGAAAATGTTAAAATAATAATCGATATAAGTAATCGAATAATGATTTATCAATATATCAAATTAATGGATAAAAAGATTCATTTTAGGTATAAGAATTATTATAAATTCCTAAAATGTATTGTTTCGATTTTTTAGTGATTGAGCATCGCAGTAAATCACACCGTTGCAACGGTCGTTTCAGATTAAATTGATAACGCAGCTACAACGTAACAAGGAAATTGAATACCAACCAACTATTTCAATTTGCATATCTCTCCACAATTTTAGAATGCGGCGCAGAGCAAAGGTCAATGGGTACGTATATTGTACAGCAAAAAAAAATTCCGTCATTGGTTCGTGTTGACTACGTAGCGGGGAACGAACGTCCCGATAGCGTCGTGCTGTTCCGTAAAAGTCACCGAATTAACTCCCCCTCCCCAACGACGATTAGAACAGAACCAAAAAAATGTTGGAAAATCAAGTTGACAGTCATCATAGGTGATAGATATAATATATAAATATTGTCGTTTATAGTGGTGGTAAGGGGTGAACAACCCTAACTACATGACACCCTTCCAAAAACAGCCACCACCCCATCCAACCCCTCCGTAACTCCACTATGCAATGGAAACGTGTAAATGGCCGTTAAAAATTATGATGATACCTAATAATGAACACGACAATAATAAATATTAAAGACGGCGACGAAGACGAATTTTCATAATATAATATTAACTATTGAGTGAATTATAACGTAGGTCCAGCATTACATATGTCCAGTACCTTGAACGTAAATTATAAATATCGATCCCTATTCATGGAATAGTAACTAACCCTTGAATGTTGGAGGGCCGCCGATGCGCGAAGGGAGGGCAGTACATCGACAACCTTACGTGCACCCACTGTCTTGGATAATAACAAAAATTATTATTATTATTATTATTATTATTATAAAGAAATAAGGATAAAGGAATCCTTTATAATACCTAAAGTCCTAAATTAAATTATTATGTCGTATTATTTTATTATTAAGAATGCCGTCACCATACTAGTCTGATGATAGCGAGCGGAAGAGATAACGGCTGACAGACACTGACGTTATCACATAAATTGGTTGGCAACCAGGACCCAGCCTGCTCCCAAGGCCGCAACCACCACCACCGCCTGAATATTACATGCAGTAAACTGCAGACCTCAGACCATAGCACTAGCGGGTTAGCAGCCCACCACTGGCTCGAATATTGTTCTACTCGCGCGACGCGCCGTTTTCGTCTGTTCCGTCCGGATCCGGTTGCCGCCGCTCAGTCGTCACTCGTCGTCCGTACGGGTGGAACGGTGGTTGATTGTCGTTGCGTCGTCCCTGTTATGTCAGGGGATGTTTTGGAAGTTTTCGAAGCCTGTCTAATGAAGCCGTTTAAATACCCAAGACTTGTGTTTAAAGGGCACCTGTACCATTTCCACAAGCCATGCTCTCGTCACCTCCGATGGAAATGCAACCGTGTGTATGCATTGAAGTGCCCGGCCGTGCTAAGGACGAGCATGAATATGCTAAATCTAGAGTATATTGCCGTCGATCACGATCACAATCACGAAATAGACGAAGCAGCAATTACTAATTTAAGAATGAAATTACAGATGCTCAGAGCATCTTCCTTCTTTCGGTAAGATATTATAAAAAATATGTTAATATATTATAATACACCCATACCAAAGCATATAGATATATATTTAATTTAATTATCATACCTCCATAGTGGTGTGATAGGGGTTACTTTGAACCATACATTTTCCCACAATCTTGGTTTTCAAGTTATCAATTAAGAACATTGATAACATTATTGTGCTACGTTATAGGTTTATCATTTCCTTTAATGAGTATATCTCACAGCACAGTGTATTATATTATTAATTATCCTGTTTTTTTTTATTTTTTATTTTGGGCACCATTAATAACAATTAATTTTATTCTTTGTACCTATTATTGGTTCAATGGTTGTGTAACGACCAATTCGTATCTAAAAAGGTGAACAGTCTGTGTGATATTTTTCTTTCCCACAAAAAATAATTGTATCATCTCAAATCAATTATTGCTTCCAATTTAATTGTTTTCAATTATCGCACCTTCTTGCTCTAAAATTAGTCGTATATCATAGTTACCTATGTATTATATTAAAATGATTAGTTATCATTTTCAACCACAGTTTATTCACAAAACACCCACTTGCTATAGTAGAGATGGACATCACTATGAGTTGTATTCAAGTACCTTTATTGTTATGTATGACTATGACTTTAATATGCAGGTCAGGTGAGCAATTCCAATTATTGGCGACTTCAAATAATATTTAATACATTACATTTTAAATTAAAATTTTTAAGCAAACTACCAATTGTTTTAGTATTAGGTACATCTTGTATGAGATTTTTAAATTTTCTTAATTGATGGTTCTGAAATCATTGTTTGGTTACAATTTGTTAGATGTTAGAATGTCATCCTCAAAAATATTAGGTACTTCTTATCTGTTATACTTCATTATTGTTATTTTAATATTTCATATACTATGTTATTATGCTTGTAATATTATTTTAACATTTCATATAATATAATGCTTGTAGGTATATTATCTTAACATTTTATAGTATGCTAATTGCTTGTATATTATTAATAGTTGAACATCAAGTAATAGAAAAAATACTGTCCGAAACATTTGGAAAAATACCTTACTTTAATACCAAATTTTAAACTTATAGTAGTTGTATTTTTGTACAATTTTCTTTCTTAGTTTTATTACTTCTTGGTGATGTTCCTGTATTGTTGACCAATGTCTACTTCTGTTTAATATTACTACCACATTATTATGCATTAATGTTTTCCTTTGTTCTTTTGCGCAAAACATGTGCAAATTTTATTCAATAATTGATGTAAAGGCATAGTAACAATATGTGCCTTACTTCCCTATCATTTATGATTCAACAACTTACCATTATTTTAAACTGTTTAAGATAAATAAATTATTTATACAGGAATCAATAAGACATGTATGATAATAGTATAATTGTTCTTATATTAAAATTATTATTTGAAAATGGTTTTAGTATAAAATACTGTTAATAATAAAAATTAACAATTTAATAATATATTTATGATATCAACTACAATTTGAAAACTACAGCGAAACAAAATTGTCATTTGGTAAATAATACTTATGACTTGCGTTCTACCTATATTCGTAAATAAAATACAATAGTACCTTTCTTTTCAGATTTAAGATCATTATATTAGTTCATATTTGCCTATTGTATGCCACCTAAAAGATGCTTTTTAACCGTCAATATCACATTATCATATACTGTTATAAATATTATAAATGTTGTATAGAAAATATAAACCTATACAATTAAAGTAGCTACCTAACTTATATATATATATTATATAGGTATAAATTTTTTTTAAATTTGTTCTTACAAAAATTTTCATGTTCTTTGACAGAGCGAAACATTTTATGTCAACAATACCTATATCATTTCAGAAAAAAAACTTATAATAATTGTAATTTTCTGAAAACTATAAATAGCTAAAAAAATAGTCGAAAAAATTTATGAAAAATGTATGGTGAATAGGAAATTTTATTATAAACATATAAAGAAAATTTAAAGTATCATTATTATTTTTTGAGTTGTATCAAATAAATTAAATATTTTTTTTTCAATTACTGGTTTTGCGTGAAGATCGCTGTTTTCCTTAATTTTTTTGATGCTTTCCAACATTGGAAAACTAGGTGCTGAAAATTTTTTACTTAAGATCTTCCAAATTATAAACTAGGTTCACTTTCCTACCAGAAAAAATTCTGAAGTAGAAAATCAAAGCATTTTTGCTTCTCAAAAATTAGTGATGCAGACACAAAAAAAAACCATTGTAAAATCAATACATTCATCGCTTAGCTCAGATTCTAAAAACGTGTGTTCCAACCAGAGCTATCCTAAGGCGAGGAGGGTCCAGGCCCCGGGCTTCGTGTTTTAAAAAAATTAGTAAAATTGGTTTATAATATCAAATTAACGAAGTAGGTACATCGTAAAAATATTGAACTTTTTTCCTTGTTATCGAGAACTGGTGTTGGCATTGCTTCTCCCCCGGTCAACATCGTTTATTGTGACTAAAAATATTGAACTATCCAATAATAACATGTAATTACAATGGCGATACCTAATAGCATTGTTGGTGGTGTGCGGGTAGCGGCCACCGTCTTTTTAGTCTAATTTTCATTACTTAGGTATTAATTATAAATTATAATAATAGAAATTCTGCCAAACACAAACACACACGTGTATGATACGAAAAAAAAAAATTATAATAATTACCTTTGAAAAAAATCAAATATTTAATCAATTAAATACCTCTCACTCGTTAAATTATTATTATTAATTTAATCAAAATAATATTTCGGAATATCAGACTTACAACAGTTAAAACGTCAGTATTTTAAAGAAAAACAATGTTCATAATAAGTAATATTTATTGAGCAAAATATAAAAAGAAGGTCCTAAGTATACTAAGCCTATTTTATTAGTAGTTTTTATTGTTGACATCGAGTCTGGTTAATAGAATAATATTCAAAAAGTGGTCGATTACGTATAAATATCAAAAATTTAAAACTAGTGCTGAAAAATCGAAACTTAAAATTACTGAAAAACAACAAAATCAACGTAAAAAACAGTCGAAAATTGTTTATTAAAAAAATACCAAAACAATAGTATTGCCAGGAGTGGTCTTATTTATTGAGCATTTTTTTTCAATTTAACACGATTTGTATGAAAATGTTGATTATAACGATATAATTGAAAAGTTTGCAGAAATAAAAGCCAGAAAAATTAATTTTGAATGAATGTTATGATATTTTACTATATATTTAATTTATTATATTAAAGACGAGGTTATTTTATTTTCACAGGATAAATTTTTATTTGTACTGTGTTAAATCGATTAAGAATAGGTAATAGTTATTTTAAGTATGATTTTACCAAATATGAGAGTTCTATCTGCTTATTTGTATTTTATTAAATTAAAGCTAATTTGTATAAATATCAAGTGATATTTTTAGTATTATATGATAAATTGTAATTAATTAAGTACCTATCTATTTTTTTTGTGTGATAAAAACTATTGATGATGTACTTATGAAAAATTTGTTGGTAGATATAAAAGCTAGAGGTACCTATTACATTTGTTTTCGCCCGAGGCCTCACAAATCCTTAGGACGGTCCGGTTGGGTTAGGATAGGTTTCCACTCTGCTGTATAGTAATGTTGAGTAAACTTCAGCACTGTAATTAAGTGTTACATTTGAATTCATTGCATATGGAAAAGATTCTGAGCGGAGACTCAGAGTCTCTCCAACAAAAACTAATAGTTATAGTTATTATTAAAATACTAAGTATATTTTATTTTGAATTTATATTGCTATTTTAGTAATTTATTTTACTATACTTATAAATAGGTACAGTAGATTTAATTACTTTTTGCGAGAAAACTATCATATATTATTGCTATTAACTTTTTAGTCAATACTGCAGACTTACCAGTTACCTTAGAACTTCGTATCTAATATAAATAGGTTATAAGTAACTTCAAATGAATCTAAACATTTTGGAAAAATTTCATTGAGTTAAGAAAATTTAGTAACAGTGGAATGTTTCTATTTTTAACGCTTAATACGTTTTGAATTATAACATAAAAACAAAAAAATCGTTATTTTCACATGGACATACATTTTTGTAAAATTCAAACTTCAGACGCCCATCTATACTTATAAATAAATAATTCCTTCTTTCATTATTTAACGGACTCAATAACCACTGGACCGTTTTCAATAAAAGTTATACATATCAATCGATTCTATGAGACTCTTGAGTTAGAGACGGTCTTTAGCTTCGTTTTTCTACCTATATAGGTCGATATAGAGTAGCTCATGTCTCACTTATGCATTTAATTATGGCTCTCACAAATGGGATTTGTTTATTTACGGGTTGTAATTACACTGGTAACAGATAATAAAATAGTTTTCATGATATAAAAGATTATATTTTCTGTGTTGTAATTTATTTTGTAATTAAGGCTAATAAAGCTAGTATACAGAAGTATAAAATTGAGGGTCGCTGTAAATTGCGTCCAATTTTAAATTGTGTATGTGAATTGTAGTCCGGATATATATTTTATATATATATAAATGGCGGTCTGGGAATAATTTTGTGTGTATACCTACCTGAATATTTTTGTTTATATGTAAATTATGTCGAAGGCTTTTTTTACAAAATAAATATTTTCCTTCCAATGTTTCAGACTAAGGACTATTCAATATAATTGAATAAATATTGGTATTTGGCTTTTCTTAATACATAATTAAAAAATATATTATTAGCAATTAGAAATAATATGTTTGCAAAAATGTGTAAAAATGTATTAAAAAAAGTATTATTAAAAATTTGTAATTAAGAAACTGGTAAAAATGAGTAAGACAATTCCCGCACATATGATCTAACCAAGTAATTGTTTTTGCTTGCCATAATGCCATTCATACATTTTGTCATGTATAAATGTTTCTTTTTCAGTATTTTTTTTGTTTTTTCCCTCACTTCTCAATGCGATGTATATAATATCATACTGCACGTTTTTAAAATGGCAATGAAATGAAATATGTTTGGATGAATTGGATGAGCCTACTGGAAATCAGAATATTCCAGGACAATTTACACACATTTCAAATATACCCGAGACTCAACTTACGTGTGTCTTAAAAGTACACTGACCGCAATTTACTTAGTTTATGATGACTATGACTTTTTTTGGGGACGCAATTTACTGACTTCGAAAATATAATGGGTAGCAACTGCTATTATAATGTTTAAAAGTCAAAGGTATGGCTGAAGCTTATATAATCATAAAAATACTACGATTTTAACGTTTCAGGGAAAATATAGATAATAAATTTAACCAGTTATTTGAGGTGGCTTACCCTAACTAAAACCTTTATCGCATATTAGTTTATGTCTGCATGTGGTATTGGTTCAGTAGATTCACTAAAGAAAAAAAGGTACTTATTAAATATTAATATACGTCGCAGTTTTAATGTCCATCTCCGTTTTATTGATCTTTGTTCAACGCCGGGAAATACAACTACAGTAAATACTGTTTGAGACAAAATTAAAAAATTCCAACTTCAAACTATTAAAAAAAATTACTGTGGATTTCCATTTTCCAGTATTCACACTCAATTTCTATTTAAAATGACAGGTACTAATTTGTTATATCCCCACCCGAGAATTTTATATGGCCTCGCCATTCTATTATATTTCACTGTCATTCATAATAATCAATATATCGTGTTAATAATTCTTCGGTTCTTGGAAATATGTACCATTGTCCAATTCTATAGGCTATAATATAGTCTGTACTACATCATAACAAATTCATATGTGTTGTTAAAAAATCAATAATTAAATAGATATACACCGATCAATTACCGTGGGGGTCTTGTCAGTTCTTGTACGTCGTTATTCGATTTATAGATGTATATTATTTATACTATTATTAATTCATATACATTTACTTACTATTATTACAATTCATTTAAAAGACTCGATATTTTTTTTTAAATATATTGGTGGCCGACAGGGCTATAAAGTTGTCACACGCCCGGGCTGAGATATCACAAACCAGTACCAAATTACACTAATAACAGCTTATGATGAACCTCACATTAATTTTTCAAGCATTTAACCGTCGAAAATGTAACAAAAAAAATAATTGTAGATTTCAAATGTTTATCAATAGGGGGCTCAATTTTTTTTTGAACCGTGAATATTAAATGCTTATATAAACATTTTTCAAAAAATGCAATTACTACTGTTTGTTTTTGAATTATAAAAAAATAAGAAAATCGATTTTGTGTAAACCGATTTTGGGTAATACTTCCCGTTTTCTTATTTTTAGATTTTAAACGGAGCAATAATTACAATGATGTGTGTTTTTTTGTGTATCTCTACACAATTTACTATAGTTTTCAAATCCAGTATATCTTTTCTAGTATGAAAGTGAATTTTTTTGACTGGTACTGATGGTAGGTCAAAATTCCCGAACTTTTCAAAATATTATGAAAAAACCCGCAATTTCTACATGAAATTAATTTTTGATAAAATCTTGTTTAGTTTATTGTAACCGTAGGTACTTGAAATGTTTCCTTAATGTTAAATTACCATTTTTTTTACATAACATAATTTTTAAAACATTTTGACTATTTTAGAGCTAGCTATAGAAATTTTTTTTTTTTTTTTAGTTTTTTCTTTTTTATAAATATCAACAAATACATTTTTTCTGTCGAAATGCTCAAAAAATGTATATATGGTTCCCCTTATGTTTTAATTATGGACATTTCAAAATATTAAAAGAACATAGGTATGATTTTGTTTTTATAAACATTTAAATTTGATGTTGAAATGTTGACAAAAGTCGCTAAATTCACGAAAACATGAGAATTATTTTATAGTTTGAATTTATAAAAATGTATAGCTAGCTAAGGATTAAAAATATAATTCAACATTCCTTATATTATGTAGTTCATCATATTATATTGAAAAATTGAAAAATATATATATTAAAAGGTTATTAAACAAGTATATATTATAGTAACTTACTCAATAATAAGATGTACTCAACACCTGCATAGCAGTCAGCAGAGCAGTTATCTACTCTTTCTTTTTGTTTGTCCTAACTATTAAGAGTTATGAGTATTTTAAGTTGTACAAATAATTTACAATTTTTAAATACTCATAACTCTCTTTAAAATTAGAATATAATAAAAAGCCCAAGAGAAGCCCTCCGTAATAATCTTACCTTTAATTTTAATAAGAGGTCAATTCACTCTAATTTTTAAGCTAACTGAGCTAAATGTGATCTGCTGAACTTAAAATTTGATATGTTCCACACTCTTGTAAGACAAAGATAACACATGCGGGTATAACGTCCTCTTGAGATAATTACTGTGAGCTGCATTACTTTCAACCCACTATTGTACCAACTAAATTCACTTTCCTATCAGAAAATATATAGAAATTGAAGATTGAAGTTTTTTTTTTCCTTTAAAAGAGTCTCTTCCGGCCAAAAAACACAACATTTTTACTATTGTAGAATTAATACATTTATTGCTCTTCTCAAAATCAAAAACATTCAGGTAGATTAATAATTAAAATCACTTTCCTATAGAATTTTAAATTATTTTTATTTTTTAATGATGACTTTTTTTATGAAAAATTATGGAAATTATTTAAAAAAATTAAAGCATGTTTAATCATTTTATTTATTACATTTTTTTTTTTTAGGAATAATTCCATGTTCAAAGGCAGGAATCCTTGTCCTAAGATTATACATCTTAAAGAAGGTATATCTAAGAATAATACCAAGCTTAAACCGAAGAATGGTTATGCTAACATTAATATTGATGAAGAGGATATACCTGAGAATATTAAAAATAATAAACTAGCTAGATTTTGTGCTTCTATTAATCAAATATTTAATGTTGATCCACTTGATTATGACTATGAAGATAATTACACAGATGGACTTGAAAAAATAATCAAAAATAAAAACTTAAATGATATAAGTTTCGATTTTGAAAATCCAAGCATTAGAATTACAAGAAATACAAGAAAACAAAAACAAGTAGGTTATTTAAATTTACATTTAATTATTTACTTTTAAAATTGCATGTTATAAATATATTATTTTTTTAGAAGGTAAAAAGAGTAAAAACTTGTTCTTGTATTGTTATTGTTAAAAATGTTATTGCTGCATATTAGTTCAAATAATTACAGTCACTGTAATTTAAATTCAAAAATAGCTTAGATTTTAGCAATACAATTAAACTGTTTGTATTTTTAAATTAAAAGTTTAATATAATCATTTATTATTTTATTAATACAGACACAAAAAACAATCATAGGACTTCTTACATAATTGTAGGAAAGTGAAAGTTATATATTTCAATCACTTATATACACAATAATTATACTTATAAATATATATTCTTATAATTTTTCTAATGTAAATTGGTATTACTGTGGTGGTTGTACAAACAATTTACTGTATTAAAATACTCATAACTTGCTTTAAAATTAAAATATAAAAATAAACATATGAGGTTCACTAGATAATAGTCTTACCTTTAAATAGTATAAGATTTCAATTCACTCAATTTTTTTAAGTAATAGATCTAAATGAGCTTAAAAAAATTGCTATGTTACGTATTTGCAAGACAGGGGCAAGGACATGCAAGGTGTAGCATCATCCTCTTAAGTAGAGTTATTTTGTTAGTGTGTAATGCCTGAAGTCAATACAAGTAAAATTGCATGTGTAATAAATCATTATGTCAAAATTTAAGATTTAAAAATAACTTAAATATTATATTTATTGAAATATTATGTTATTGTAAAATACAATCGTGTCAATTATCATTATTTATTTAAATATACGAAGACTCCATAATATAATTTAGAGGTTGGTACATAATAACAACTGTTCTATCACTGACTAATTCATTGATGTTACCATAATGTGTTTATTTCTCCAAATAATATCTAAAATTGTAACATCCATACATGATGGTTAATCAAGGCATCTGATTTTAGTCATGAGTACATAAAATAATAAAAAAATTGTTGTTTTCAACCTTAAAGAATCAATGTAATATTATTTTATATATATAAATGTTAAACCTGAAATATTAAACAATAATAAAATAAAAGTCCATTTATAATTTCTGTCGTGAACTAAGTAAATTGCTTTATGAATATTTGATGTGCAGTTTACCAATAACTACAAAATTTTAAATATAACTTTCACTACTTATGTTTAATTTAAGTTAACATTTTCAGTATTTTAACTAAAAGAAAATCTATCAGTATTATTTTAGAATTGGCTATACATAACAAAATAAATGCCTTGTTTTTGAGTAACAAACATTTAAACAGAAGTAGATGTTATTCAGTCATACTAAAAAAAAAAAAAAAATTGAAAGACTTAATACTTTTTAGTTATAAGAAAAATGAGTTTACCGCATAAAATTAATTATTAATAATTCTTCATGAAATTCACTTATTACCTTTACACAATAAAGGTATCAATTAAAATTGTTAGATATAATCAACAATTCTGATGTTAAAACAAATGGGTGGTTATTTTTTCATGTATTATAAAAATATTAAATAACTCTGAACTGTTGAGTAATTTACATTTAATTGACCCTTACCATAATTATATATTAAAACTGTTTTTTAGATTGAATCTAATAATTTAAAAAATGACACAACGAAGAATAATATAAGGTGTTCTTCTTTCAAGATCAAAACTTTTAACCAGGTGCATGATGAAATGTTGCCAAAAGAACAAAACTTGATTGTCAGTAAGAAGGAAAAAAATGATGGACAAGTGAATGAAAGTTCTTTGCTTCCAAATACAGATAAAGAAAAAAATACTTCTGCTATTAACACAAATCAAAAAATAAATAATAAGACTATTAATACTCGCAAAACAAAAAATTCTTTGATTAGTGATATAATTTTAGATAAGATTACTTTAACTAGTAATACACATGAAAAAATAAATACCTTAACTACTAATACTTATATTCCCAAAGAAAAAATTGCACTGATTAGTAATATAAATAATGATAAAAATACATTAACTAGTAATACACACGGAGATGAAAATACTTTGACGAGTAATACACACAAAGACATTAATATATTAACTACTAATACTTGTACACCTAAAGAAAAAAAATCATCAATTAGCAATATAAAGAAGGATAAAAATAAGTTGATTAGTAATATAAACAATTATAGTAATACTGTAACAAGTAATTCACACGAAGAAATAAATACATCAACTACTTATACTCATACACCCAAAGAAAAAATTGCATTGATTAGCAATATAAATAAAGATAAAAATACATTAAGTAGTAATACACACGGAGATGAAAATACTTTGACTAGTAATACACACAAAGACATAAATACTTTAACTAATAATACTCATACACCTAAAGAAAAAAAATCATCAATTAGCAATATAAAGAAAGATAAAAGTAATTTGATTAGGAATATAAACAATTATAGGAATACTGTAACTAGTAATTCACATGAAGAAATAAATGCATCAACTACTAATACTCATACTCCGAGAGGAAAAATTTCATTGATTAGCAATATAAATAAAGATAAAAATACATTAAGTAGTAATACACATGAAGAAAAAAATACTTTGACTACTAAGACTACCAAAAAAAAAGATTCTTTGATTAGAGCTTTAAAAAAAAAAAATTCATTTGGTAATAACATTCGCAAAAATAAAATTACTTCAATAAGTAATATAAGCAAAAATAAATCTGTTACGTCTAGAAAAAGTTATAAAATAAAAAATATTCTAACTACCAATAAACAAACAACTAAAAGGACTTTGGTTACAAATACACATAAAAAAATAAATATTAGGACTACTAATAAACAAAAAACAAAGAGCTCTTTAATCATAAATACTCGCAGAAAAAAAATGTATTCTAAATTAAAAAAGAAAACTCTGAAACCTACAAATCAAAATTCGCTTGAAATGAAAAGTACATCTATAATTTTAGCACCTACAATTAAAACAACATCTTCAATTTTAACATCTACAATTAAAATTAAACCTCCAATTAGAAGTTGTATGAACAACGCTATTAATTATGAGGATGATATTAGTATTAATAGTGACAGCGATAGCTATTACGATAATGAAGAACCTAATCATAATATAACCAATGATGTTAATTTGGTGCATGATGATATGATATCGATTTATTGTAAAGAAAATTGGCCAACAATTTTAAACAACTTGAGTGATCCTTTGACAGGAATTGAGGTAATACAATTTTTTACATTGAAAATATATTTTATTAATAATACTAATTAATACTGTAGGTGTACAGAAGTATTTTATTTAACAAAGCATGTATTCTGTTACAAAATCAATGCACTAAAACTAAATTAGAAATTTTGAAATTAAAAGGCCGTAACCTCCAATGGCAATTAAAATTTGAATGTTTGGAATTTCAAATAAAAACATTAGTAGAAAGTACAAGAAGTGACAGAAATACAAGACACATCAGTATTCAAAATCAAAATCAAAAGGTGAATATCAGTATTCTCTGTTTACATTTTAGATTCTGAGCGGAGCGATGAATGCATTGATTTTACGATGATGTGTGTTTTTATATTTATTTATTTTTTTGTATGTCTGTCATCACGGTTTCTTGCAGTAAAAGTGCTTCGATTTTCTTAAATAGCAGCGTTTCTGGTAGGAAAGTGAATCTAGTTGATGCATAGTTAGTTTTCAAAAGCAACAGAATAAACAAACAAATTTAAGGAAAAACGAGAATTTTTACGCAAAACCATTTTTCGAAAAATCGATTTTGGTTTTTGATGTAACTCTAACATAAATGTCTGTAGATACATGACATTTTCACTGAATATTTGTGTAAGCATTTTCTTTAGACCATAACATTCTAAAAATATTTTGATTTGTGTTGAACTATTTATAAGCATAAGAATTTTTCGATTTTTATTTGTTTTTTTTCAACTTAAGTCGATAAAAAAATTTTGCGTGGTCAAAAAACTTGAAAACGTAATACAAGGTTGGTTCCTTGTAAGTAGTTGTTAATGGAAATTTAAAAAAAAAGTGAGTGTATATCCACAATAATTTTTTATGAGCGTTTAAACTTAGAATTTTTGATAAAATTCGTAAAAATCACGAAAATTAGCACATTATATTGAGTTATAAATTCATAAAAAATTTTCTATTTATATCTAAGATTTAAAAATTTAATACAAGATTCCTTACAAGTTTGTCTACCTTTAAAATATGATTTTATTCGATTGTTTTGTACTTTTTATTTTTATCATATATATTATTTTTATCATGTTGGTTGCTTATAGATGTGTGTATGTATGTATGTATGTATGTATCTGTTTATGTATATACACATACATACTTTTATAACAATAGGTGTTTATAACAATAGGTGTTTTCTGGGTGTAGAAAAATCCAATAGTCTTTGATGCTGTATGGTACAATAGCTGGGCTATAGGTTGCCTCAAAGTCTGTAGCCAAGATATTACAAAATGTTTCTACTAAATATGCCAACTTATATTTCAGAAAATAATAATTTTTATTTAATTTTATTATAATGATTTATTATACTATTTAAAGTGAATAACGATTAAATGATCTACACAATTTCACTAGCTTATTATTTTTTAAATTTAATACTAAACTTAGAAATGTTTTCATTGTGTTATAGGATGCAGCATTATGTAGAAGTATTGGAGTTGGAAAGAAAGAGACCACCAATGCAGGTAGAAAGAAAAAAGGTAAATCAATCTATCTTGTAAAAAAATAACTCATCATAAGATTTAATAAAACTAAAACTAAAATAATTGTTAATCCTTTTGCTCTAGTTTGTACAGATTTAAAAAACGATATTACACCAGATAACTTTAAAACTTTGAAATCATACCAACAATCTTTGAACAGTGAAGACGGAAATCTAACTGAATGTGAGACAGATATTAATACAACTAAATCCAAAGAAATCAAAACAAATTTATCTTCTACACAAGTGATGGTTGATTTGATAAAAGATATTCCACCAAGTACAACTGCTTCAATATTAATCCCGGAATCTTCAGAAAGTAAAAAAAGAAGTGTATCCGAATGTGATACATATATTACAAGATCAAAAACTAAGATAATAAAAACTAATCATTCTTCTATTCCAAATTTTGATAATTTGAATGTACATATTCCACCAGAGACAACAATTTCAATAATAAGCCCTGAATCTATTTACACTGAACAAGACAATTTAACTCAGTCTGACTCTGGTATTGAGATAACTAAATCCAAAGTTATTGAGACTAATGAACAGTCTACTTTAGAGTCCTCAAATATATGTCCAGATTTTGCAATTTTGACTCAATATGGTACAGAAATTGAATTCTCTGAAATAACTGAGTCCAATATGATTGATTGTTATGAACCTGCCACTTCAGCTTCCATTGATAGAACTGTAAACAATCCACCAGTTATAACAACTTCAGGGTTAAGCTCGTATTTGTTCAGTAATCAAAAAACAATTTCAACACAATATAACACAGATATTAGGAAAACTAGATCTAAAACAATGGAGTCTAGTCCTGCGTACATCGATTTAACTGTAGACAGTCCACCAGATATGATCTCTTCAAGTGTAAACCCAAATATGTTAAATGGTCAATCAAGTTCGACTCTACACAACACACAAATTGAGTGTTATGAACCTTCTACTTCAACATCCATTGATTTAACTGTAAACGATCTACCAATTATGATGAATTCAATGTTAAAAAATAAAACAAATATATTTACTCAATGTAACAAAGATATTGAGATAACTTCACTTACTTCAATGTCCACTGATTTAAGAAGTAATAATCCAACATTTTCGAGTTCATCTGTGAAGGCAACAACTCCATTGAACAGTAATGATGATCTTTGCATGGATGGTGAATCAAAGGTTAAAAAACGTACTACCTTTGATGTATTTGTAGTTGGGAAAGATGCACAACTTTCGACAGTAGATGCAAAAAGAATAAAACGCATAGATTGGAAGTGCCCTCAAGCCCTGTTTGTTTCTTCTAACCAAATTCCCGTGGAGTTATCACATCAAAATGCTATTCTTCCAGTTGCCTTAAAAAGAATAAATGAGAATCCCCCGTCACAATATCCATTATTGAATATGCTGCTTACTAAACCAAATAATACAGTCATAAAACCAGCAGAAATAAATACAACACCCTTCAATGTAAGGTATTAATATTTTTTTTACTAAATACATATTTATTTTGATGTTTGTATGTTATAGAATCAAATGAATACACCATTTCCACCAAAAAATACAATTATAAAACAGGACAAAAGAACTTTTATATTAAATATCCCCGTCAATTCTGTCAATGTAAGTCATGTATATTTTTATTATAAATATATATTTATTTTGATATTTGTATTTAATAGAATCGAATGAAAGCACCATTACCTGATGTTGTTTACGAAAGCACTCAAATAACAAATAAAATCAATTACCAGGAGACAATTCATTCAAATTATTCATATAACCTACGTAAAGCAGCTCACAAGATGAAACCTGTACCCATAGCTATTCCATTACCACCTTCAGAAATAATTTATGGTTATTCGGATGAGATATAAATTATTTGTCTTTAATATATGTATTTAAAATATTATAGGTGTACAAATAAACTTTTTAAACATTGATTTTTTTTCGTATTGGTAATTAATTTTTAAAAAAAACCTTCTATTGAATAGTATTATATTTGTTTCCTTTGCTCTATTTTATTTTTAGAATTAATGTTTTAATGGTAAAACAATTAATAAATGTAAAATAAAAGTGTATTTTTTTTATTTTATTGTGTTTTTATAGCAGCCAAAATGAATACCTACTTAATAAAACCATGTAGACTAAAATAAGTTTTAGCAAGTATTTAGATCATACTGTATTAATAAAAAAAATTGTATTTGAAGATGTTTGTTTTGCAAGGCTGGGCATTAACGAGTTAAAAAAATAAAGTTAGGTTAAAAAGTTGATTTTACTTTAATTTTTTAACTTAACTAGTTACTCTTGGATTTTCATTCTTAACTATTAACTTATTAAATAACTTTTTTAATTAAATTGAATTAAATTAATTTATCATTTTAAGAAATAAGTTAAGTTAGTTTATTTTGTTTTTAATTTTTTTTTGCACTTCATTATTTGAGTTTATTTCGATTTTGTTGTCATGTCAAAAAAATATTTGTAGCGAATTGTTTCAAGTTCAAAATTTTATATTTTTTTCAATCACTGTATTTTAAAGGAAAAAATAATTTTTCAATGTAAAATTTTCTTAGCATAAATATGTATGCAACCTATTTATGTTTAAACTCATAGTTTAAGTATATCCAAGCCTGGGCTAGATTATGTTAATTTTTAATTGAGTTAAGTTAAGTTGATAGAAAACATTTTAAAAAGTTTAAAGTTAATAGGTATCCTAATTTTCTTTTAATCTCAGTTAAATTAAAAGTTATTTGAAAACGTTAACTAACTTACTAACTTAAGTTAATTTATTTATTTAACTATTTTTTAATATATAAGCAGCTAGATGTATGGTTTAAAATAATAAAAAGTAAATATTTATGCCATATATATCATCAATAATAATATTATTATATTTATTATTTAATTATTTATAACTCAAGACCGGATTTTGCATGAAATGTATGTTGCTATTTTCAACATCATATACATGCAGTCAACGAGTGTCCACAAATCATTAATTTAATTGATTAAATATAAAAATTGTATAGTGCATATTTAACAAAAACCGTACAAATATATACCAAACGATTTAAAAAAGTGTTGAGCAAAAAAAAACAGATTATAGGTACGTTTACATAATATTAATATCAAATATTTTACATCTCAAATAATATGCGGACTCTAAAAATAGGTTGGGGTATTGTTTTTCCAATTAACATACTACATTACATTTTTCGTACTTTTTTCCTATTTATATCAGTATATCAAAAATTAGCTACTATTTAATTTTAATAAAATATTTTTTACAATGTACCAATGGTTAAAACAATTTAACAAGTTACATTATTGTACTACATAATACATATTTGTTATATTATACATCTTGCTTTTTGTTAATGAAAATTTTAATGAAACTAATAATTAATAAATAATTATCACTGCAAAATTACAGGTACCGCAGGTGGATTGTTTACCTGATTAGCTGTAGTACATCGTCTGCGATCCGACAAAGTCGGATTGCTTACCTAGGTAGCTAACTTGAATGTTAAACGATTTTCACTTGAGGTAACGGACTTGCTAGACATTCCAACTCAGTTTTCGAATTTACATTTTTTTACATACGAAAAAGCAAAAGACATGCGATGGGGAACCGTGTTATTCAATTGCCGATTTTCGTGGGTAAAGTGAAATTTCAAACATTCCCGCGCTCGAAACGAGATCTCTAAGACTTATCAAAAATCGTTACCACCTCCTACATTTTTGTTTTTTAACTACCCATGACGTCAACAGGAGTGACTTCTAAAAGTAATTTCAACGACATTGACGTCTGCATCGCCGAGTCTCACAACTCACAAGCCCCCGAGTTTCACAGGCAGCTAGTCAAATATAAAATGTAATACAAATTGAAACTTTATTTTGCATCTTTTTTTTGCATATTTTGACTTTCTTTAGTGCATGTTTGCATGCATATTTTAAAATTTAAAACGCATATAAATCCGGTCTTTATTTATAACTTAACGAAATTGGATTTGATTAAAAGTAACTCGTTATTTATTAAGTTTATATCAATAAAAACCAGATAAGTTAAAAATTAAGTTAATGAAAAATAAATTTTAAAATGTTAAGTTAAAAAGTTAAAATTAACTTAACTTTAACTTTTTAACTCTTTTGTGCCCAGGCTTCAGCAAATACATGACTGAATGCATATTATGTTAAAATATTATCCAACTATTTCAATTTACATATTATCTCTTTGTTTTAATTATATTTTAATTTCTAATATAGGGACAGTAGAGTCTTGCTAACCCGTACATCCAGATAATCCGGACAATCTATATTTCGTACTTTAGTACTCATGTATAATATTTATACTCTGGAATACTCATGATTAAGAATTAAGATATTATCGTTTTGATTACATATGTATTGTGTTTATATTATTTTTTTAAGTGTGTTCAGTCTTTTATTTCCTTTAAATTTGTATTGATATAATATGTATAGATATGTAATACATATATCATAATAATAACAATAATAATGTGTAGTATAAAATTGTGAATCAATAAATTTTGAATTTGTATGAATACATAATGTGTTTTTTGTTTATATTTATATTTATCAGTAAGTTAAAAAAACGTCATTCCGTTTAATCAGGATTTTCGATAATCCGGATAGAGTTCGGCCCCATCTAGTCCGGATTAGCGAGACTACTGTAATTTGAAGTTAAGTAGTTTTTATATGATGGATATAAATATATAATTATTAAATTATGTAAATGTACACAATTATACTCATTTAATATTTTTGTATCATACTAAGTATATAATACCTTGTTCTTCTTATTTCGTCTCAAATATCCCTCCTTTATTCGAAATCCTGTTTTTTTAAATAGTAAATAACCTAAATAATTAATTGGATATTTATACGAAAAATCTGAGCTAAAAATAAAGGAAACATGTATGGTTTATTTGTGTTTTTTTTCTTTTAATTATGGTGGGGAGGATGGTATTATAAATCTTTCGATATTTTGTTATTAATATATTTTTAGGATTATTTTTCTCCAAATATTTTGTATTTGAAGTGTTTTGTTTTGTATACCAACCATTATAAAATAACTTCACACAAGAGTTGTTCTTTTTGGAATTGTAAAAACAATAGCAGGAAAAATCCGGTATTAACATTTTGTATAAATTTCCTACAAAAGATCAATTGTAAGTTAAATTTTTAGGTGGTTAAGTTTTGAATCCTTTAAAATATAATTGTGACTTATCTTCAATGACATTACCAATGTCACGAAGACGTAGAGTAACTTACCATAAGTTTAAAATTTAATGCAACAAAATTACTTTATAAGTAATTTATAGTAATTGAATTAACTTTCATTGAAAGTAATATCTATAAATAATAATAGTTATTTTACTATAGCAACTCTCTGTTACTTTTTTCCCCAATACATTTAGGAACTAATTGTATTTATTGTGATTTTGAGTCTATCATTATCTTAAAGGTTATGGTTTTATTAAAAAAAAATTAACTTATTACTGTAAGAAAGTAACATTTATAACATAAAATTGGGTGAGGTCAGGCGTATACAGTAGTGGTGTTGAGTATGTATCTGTATTAGCTAGAGTGCTAGACTCTAGCTGCTAGAGTATTGTAAACGTTATAAACGATGGCAGCAGGGTGGTATTGTTCACCCAGAGTCTCCTCTGCTGTCGGTTTAAACCAAAAAAAACAAGGTGTACCTATACAGTATGTGTTAAGTGTACCTCATCATTGAGTAAGTCACTGTAATGGATAATATGTTAATTATGAATTCAATGATCAATCATAGCATGTATTTATAAATTATTTCCCAAACTATGGATTTGAAGATTATTAATACTCTTTTGCTAAACAAGTAAGTATTGATACATTTGAAACGCTATTACTATAATGTGTATAGAAATTTTCATGTGATAATATCAAATGCTCTATTAAAATAGTATTAATTAATAATTTCCGTTGTAAATTATGGGTTGATCAGAGAAGAAATCAAAGGATCATAAAAACTATGGCTTTCAAAAATCAAATGTTGTACAATTATATAATATTAATATACTATAATATCTACTTACCTGTATAATAATACCTATAGACCAGCGTTTCACAAAGTGTGGGTCAACAGTCAATTTTTGGTGGGTCGGGAACATTTTTTTGAATTATATAGATTCCAAGAAATTTGTGTTAGGTACCTCATTATAAAAAGTGCATTTTAATTATATTAATTATATTTTTATTCATATTAATTATAAACCTATAAAAAAACAAAATCCCTAATAAAAATGTATACATATTTATATAATACAAATTTTGTTTTTCTCAAATTGTTGAAAAGTGAAACAATGTGGGTCGCGAAAGATTTTTCGGGGGAAATTTAGGTCACGGTATTAAAAAAATTGAGAACTACTGCTATAGACTAAAAACCTTCGTTGTTGAAGCCTTAACAAATTTAAATAATAACAATAATAATCATAATACCTACCTATTACCCATAAAATAAATAATAAGTATATATTTCGTTATGCCTACTGTTTGCCTAGTACGTATAGTATATAACAACTGTAGAACTGTAGAAGTATAAGTGGTAAGCGTCTAGCAGAATATGTATAAGCAACCACAACGATTATGTGGGTCATATTTATGTCGTGTTTCTCTTATCATAGACTGTCCCATATTGTCATATAGAGTATTTGCCTATAGTTTTGGTTTGGAAAACGGTAGCGTTGTATAAACAAAAAACTGGTATTAACTTTTAACTTAACTGAGTTAATCTATAGTCAAATTAACTTTTAACTTTTTGTTATTGGTGCATATTAACTTAACATAACTGAGTTAAAAAAAAATCGTTAAATGGCCCATACTTGGTGTTCTGTCATGGTAATCGGAGGCAATTCTAGCATACACAAACGGTCTACTCGAA